ACACAGACAGACACACACACACACACACATGCGTGAAACACTTGGCGGGATTGTGTTTCTCTGACACGCTGTTAAACAAAGCTGCCTTAACAAATTTACACAATTCCATTCGTCTTCAACATGTTACTGATATACGGTGTGTTTGGACAGTAAATGCATGTGTAAGATGATCTTTTTGGCTATAGAATGCAATTTTTCAGATTCCTTGTGGGCATAAACATTCCTTGACATTTCCCCCCCTTTTTTTCTCTCAGAATTCTGAAGAAGAAACACTCACACACTTTAAAAAAATAATGCTTCCATGAAGAACCTTAAACATCCAAGGTTCTTTATGCTGGAAAAAGTTTCTTAGATTATTCAAACGTTCTACGGACTAAGAAAAAAAATGGTTCTTTTAGGAATTGTTCACTGAAAGGTTCTTTAGGGAACCACAGATTATTATTTTTAAGAGTGTGTGTAGGAAACATTGACTTTGACCTTCATGAATTGCTCCTTCATGTAACTTTCGTGAATATTTTATGACTTCAGGCTGAATTGAAGTTTCAGTTTTTAACTTGAACCCTAACAGACTCCGAACGGTTTCCCAGGGTCCTGCTGGGGGCCAGCTACATGTCACTCGGGGGGTCAAAGGTCAAGTGAGAGGGTCAGAAGCTTGCGAGTGTTTCAATCAAATACTTCAGATCACGCTGAACATCAGATCAATCCACCGACACGATCTAGTCAATAACGACTAGAGAGAGCGTCTTCTATAGACCGCCTTGCTTCCGGAAGTGTTTTTTCCATTCATTCAGTTTAAATAAGTTTCTCTAAACGCATCACAAGCCATGAGCCAAAGCAACCAGCTATGAGGAGAATCACAACAAATGCAAATGCAGGACCAAACGATCACATGATGATCACATGATCACCTCATCTGTCCTGAGATCATCATTATATCTCTCTCTAGTGAGCATCTTCACATGTGTTGCGTTAGAACCGTTTACAGGCCGGTCACAGGAGGCAGCAGGAGACCAAGCGCACTTTTAATGTACAATATTAAGTGTCCTGAGGGACCGACGCACCTGTGGACAGAAATACTGTACCTCTCACAGCAACAAAATGGGAACGGAGCCTAATTAGAGTAAATGAATTTGAGTTGTTAGGATGCAAAAATTAATCTATTAATTATCCTCCCTTTGGGACACATCTCATATCAACTCTTTCCTCTCATAAAATGCATTTACAGCTCAGAAGAATGAAGGTGCTGCAATCTATCTATCTATCTATCTATCTATCTATCTATCTATCTATCTATCTATCTATCCGGCTGTCCATCCATCTATAGGCATTTATGCACATTTAAAGGGGTCATATGATGCGATTTCAAGTTTTCCTTTCTCTTTGGAGTGTTACAAGCTGTTCGTGAATAGATAAGATCCCTGAAGTTGCAAAGACTAAAGTCTCAAAACCAAAGAGATATTCTTTATCAAAGTTAAGACTCTGCCACGCCCCCCTAAAACGGCTCGTTCTAACACGCCCCCACATATCTACCTCACTATGTGGAAATATTAGCATAATGCGGCCCAAATGTGCACGCAAAGAAAGAAGGCGTGGTTTCAGTAACCGCAGTTAGTGTTGAAGCAGCATGTCAGGGAGACGCTGTGTGTTTCTAGGCGAAAGCAAAAGCACTTTATTTGGCCTTCCGGAACATTAAAGCATGTCAACATATTCTGTTACACCAAATACACAAAATAATGATCTTTAAAAAAGCATCATATGACCCCTTTAAATTAAATAAAACTATATTTACTGCAAAAATAGACAATGTTCTTAATGCAAATAAATATTAATAAAATACATTAATTATAATTGATGTTATTTATTGTATTTGTTTCTCATTTTATTTGTTTACTAAATCGTGCATTTTATGAATTTTGATTTGATTAATTTGCACGCGCGTGTGTATGTGTGTGTGTGTACGAGTTAATGGCAGCTCAGTGTAAGTGGTCACTTCTGCAGGTTTTATTGTGCTAAAGTGAAATGAACTCTGATGTGATGTGAAGTTATTCCGTGGTCGGCTTTCGAGTCTTCACTAGAGTAGGGGGCGTGCCAAGAGCCTCAGCCTCTCCTGTGAGTGTGTGTGTGTGTTTAGGGGGGTGTCCTATGGAGAGCCAAGGAGCGAACAAAAGCCCGTTGGCACCGATCCGTGCGGATTGAGCACAGAGATCCGCGGGTCCGTGCGCGAGATGAGCGGATCCGAGCGGATGCGGGTGTTTTAACGGCATGACGGCGGATCGGACGAGCTGCAGCTGAAGGAGGAGAGCCGGCAGAGACGCTCCAGCCCCGGAGAACCGAAGAGAGGAGCGGCGGAGAGCGAGAGGCAGAGCGCCGGGGAATCATGCGGGGTCCTGCGCTCCGGCTGCTGGGACTCGTGTGGTACCTCTCCGCGCTTTTACGCACCGCGCACACGTACAAACTCCACCACAAACAAGGTAAGACGCACAGAATACACCACAAACCTGGCGAGACCCGTCAGTCTCCTCTGCACCATAACGATTCGCTTATATACACGCGCTTGGAAGTTTGCTCTAGTTTATATGACATTAAAGCAGCTCTAAAACGTTTCGCATCTAAACAAGTTAGCGTTATTTATAAATTAATTATATATTTGTGTAAATGTATGCGTTTTGCATTCTGCATATCGTCACTTTAAATGACAGTAGAGTTGGAAACCGTATGCAGCGCGGCCCAAAAAGTATCTGGAAACTTAAACATCATTACAAGGCATTGCATCGGATGATGCATTTCAAAGCAAGTGCAATTTACCACAAGAAAGATGCATGAACACACTTCTGAGACAGAGAAGTTTGTATGTTTGAAATGCTAAATCAACAGATGTGGTTTTTGAGTATTATTGTTAGTTAATGTGATTCTCTACACCTGTGGTTGATCTGCACCTGTGTGAGGAACCTGACGTCCACTAAATCAAACCGAAACACCAGCTGACTTGATCTGATGATTAGAGGAGTGACTCAAGTGTCCCGCATTTAGTGTCTGATTTGATATGAAACATCTGAAACGCCTCCGACGCTTTATGTGATTTCAGAGAGCTTCATCAGACAGTTGTCAGCGTATGAGATCATCACCCCGCTGCGCTTGAATGGTTTCGGAGAGTCGTTCCCGCACCGGCTGCATTACCGCAGGAGGAGGCGCAGCGCCGACGCGGAGCTCTCGGGTTCGAGGGCTCATTACCGGATCGAGGCGTTCGGTCAGGCGTTTCACCTGAACCTCACGGCGGATTCGGGGTTCATCGCTCCGTCCTACACGGTGCTTCACCTGGGAGAGGAGGAGACGCGCGGAGACGCCGCAGACCTGCGCCACTGTTTCTTCAGGGGACACGTCAACGCTCGCAGGGAGCACCACGCCGTCTTCAGCCTCTGCACTGGACTAGTGAGTATAAGAGTGTGCTGGTTAAACATCTGGACTGGTAACTAACTGGGGAAGCTGCTTCCATTCCTGGTCATTTGCACTGTTAGGGGAAGTTACTTTTAGAAGTAATGCATCGTGATATTGCATCACTCCATGAAAAAGTAACTAATTGTGCTACTTAGTTACAATTTATGCATTGCCTAACTTTTTGTCACCTGGGCTGGGCTTGCTTACTTGTTTTTTAATAACCAAAAAAACTAACAAAAGTAATATATTTTTGGCAACTGTACAGGCCCTTTCACACCGAAAGTGAAAATAATAAGCAGGATAGCTGTCAACAAAGTAACTTATGTTGCTTAGGTAACTTAGTATTTAATTGTAAATGTAAAAGTAGTGCGTTACTTTACTAGTTACTTGAATAAAGTAATCTGATTGTAACTCATGTTACTTGTAATGCGTTTCCCCCAACACTGGTAGTTTTTTTTTTGGGAAGTCAGAGCCCATTTCCAATTTGTAACTAGTAGTTCAATAAAGACATGAGTGGTTTTTACTAGCGGGAAACGAGTTGAGTTTAGTTTAGTTGAGTTGTTCTCCTCTGTTCTACTCGAATACACTGTATTTGTGGTAACTAGTCACGTGTAGTGGTTGCTAACTGTTCCATTTTGGTTGTTTTTTGTGACATCACAGCAGTTAACTGGGTTTAGTCAGAGTGTTTCCACCTTGTAATTACGAGTTAGGAAACTAGCAGGAATCTCATAATTAGGGTAATTCCGACGTGAACGCGGGACTAGTTCTTTCTGTGAAGATTAGGCTTTGGGTTAGTTGAGTTGTTCTGTTCGAATGGGTTGGATTAGTGAGTTTAAAGACAGGGTTTAGTGATAAAAATCTGCGCTGGTAACTGGTAAAGTTTAGGTTGTTGTAATGTCTCTGGTTTAGTTAAGTTGTTCTTCTCTAGTTTTGATGGAAAGGGTACCTGATGTTTAAACTGCAATGCTAGTTGTTTTAGACGGGAGAAATGACTTGGGTGGAATGGACTAGTTAGTATAAACAGAGGGTTTAGTGGTTAAAGATATGGACTGGTAACTGGTAAAGTATTACGGTTGGTTTTTGTGATGTCGGTTAACTGGGATTAGTCAGTGTTTCCAACTTGCAATTACAAGTCGCAGGAAACTCATAATCAGGGTAATTCCAACAAGATTAGTTCTTTCTGTGAAGATTAGGATTTGGTTTAGTTGAGATATTCATCTCTAGTCTTGATGGGAAATGGATTTTGAAACTATTCTGCTAGTTATTGTAGATGGGAGAAATGACTCGAGTGGATTGGACTGGCGAGTATAAACACAGGGTTATTGGTTAAAGATCTGAGCTGGTAACTAGTAAGGTTGCTAACTGTTGTTGGTGGTTTTGTTTTATTTTACATTTTATTTCCTTGTAAAATTGCCACAACTTTATTTTCAACTCAATTGTAACCTTCTTTTTGAAAGAAATATTGAATCATTTACATAATTAATGATAGACAGCACTTGGCTGCTGATGTCCGTCCTGCCATTTTAAGCATATGATTTGATGTTTCACTTCTAAAATTGTTGTTAAAAGTGAAGCGTGTAGATTGCTAAAATATTTAAAAAAAATTTATTGAAGTGGCCAGAGAAGGCCATAATTAGTTTTAGATTTTTTAAAATTGCAGATAAACTTTAAAAAAAATCATAATGATTTTCAGCACTTTTTTCATATTTTGCTATTTTTTTCTCAGCATGAAATTGTGTTCATATGTGCTTTAACATCAGATTCAGATCCGAGTTTTGGAAAGACTTCAGTGGAGTTGTTAAAAGTGAAGCGTGTAGATTGCTAAAATATTAAAATAAATTTTATTGAAGTGGCCAGAGAAGGCCATAATTAGTTTTAGATTTTTTAAAATTGCAGATAAACTTAAAAAAAATCATAATGATTTTCAGCACTTTTTTCATATTTTGCTATTTTTTTTCTCAGCATGAAATTGTGTTCATATGTGCTTTAACATCAGATTCAGATCCGAGTTTTGGAAAGACTTCAGTGGAAGGTGCACAGAAGCGCTCTGTTACAGTGTAAGATGTTAAGATCTGGTCCGTCACGTCGGGGTGTTCAGATGTTCTCTGCTAGTGATGTCAGATTGTGACCGCGTCTGTCCTCACATGAGCGTAATAACCTCCGGGACAGATGTTCATGAGTCTGTGAGAGTGACCTCGCACGACCTCTGATGATACACTCTAAAACATGCTGGGCTGTTTCAACCCAACTTTGGGTTAAAAATGTCATAAAAAAATTAAGCATTAATTTTAGAGTGTATTATACATAAACATGAGTGAATCTCATCAAAATCTTTAATATATATTTTATATGATACTGAATAAATGTCATATAGAGGGGGAGAGAGACCGTCCATCCGTCACTACTGTACTCTTAGGGATTGTGGGAAATAACATTTCTGCTGTTATGATGGTTTTTAAGGTGATTTTGTCAACCGTAACACACTGTCATTTATATAGTTTATTTATTACATATTTAACATTAATTTGTATTTATTTATTTATACATTTTTATTCATTTATTAATATGTGTATATATTATTATTTATTATTCATTTTAATATTCATTTGTATATCAATTTATTTAAAATTGCTTTTTGGTATTTTTTTTATTTTATTTGACTAATTTATTTATGAGCTCACACTATGGTGTTAATATTATTTGTATAATTTATTATATATTTAATTAATTTCTATTCAATTGTATACATGATTTTAATGTATTGTATTTTACTGTTTGTTTTTTTACCATTTGTTTATTTATTTTATTAACTTTATACATTTTTTCTATTTTTTTTAATATATTTTTATTTATTTTATTTTAAGATTTATTTTATTTGATTAATTATAATGTTAATCTCTTTAATATTACTGATTTAAAAAATATATAATTTTGATTTTACTATTTATTTTTATTTCCTATGTCCCTGTAATTGTTCATGATTTGATTTTAATACTCAATATTTGATTTAATATCCACACATGTGGTGTATGAGCTCAGTATTTGTGGAGGTGTTGAAAGGCCACGCTGTGGGAGAAATGAGACAGAAAAGGCATTGTGTCACGTGTTTCTGAGGGCAGGATGAATACCAGTGATGTGACTGACAGAGAATCCCATCTCAGATGAGAGTGGAATGACGGTCTTCATGGGGAATCGGCTGGAAAACTCACTGAGTTCACGTCAAACATGTTTCCATTCGTTCAAACAGACCGAAGCTGTTTCCACTTCATTATTTGCTGGTATGTTAATGCCGGATGTTTTCCGTGCAGAATCATAAAGCTAGTTCTTATGGAAGTGCATGCAGGAATCTGGAATTCTGTGTTTGAACGTGTTGCCATAGTGATGACCCATGATTCCAGAGCGACTTTCAGGAGGGGGTTATGTGAATGTCAGTCATTGTGCCTCATTATTTATTATTTATGTCACTGATTTCATATATATTTAACATTAATTTGTATTCATTTTGATTATTTTTATATATGCATATTTTACTATCCATTATTTATTTATTTACTGTTCACGTTTATTAATTTCACTGTTCATTTATTATAATATATACTGTTCAGCAATTTTAAAATTGTTTTATTTTAATTGCATTTTTAAAATTATTTTATATTACCCAGTTATTTATTTTACAATTACTTTTTTAAATATGTATTTTCATTCATTTTGAATATATATTTATTTTATTTTATACATTTTCAATTATTTATTTTACTATTATACATTTATGTATGTATTTTACTATTTTATTTATTTTATTTACTATTAATGCTTATTTAAATTATTTTACTATTATTTTTATATATTTTAGTTTACTATACATTTTATTTGTTAATCTATTTTAATATGCATTTTTATTTATAAACTATAAGTAAAATGTATTTACTTAATTGTTTATTTATTTTACTCTTATTTTTATTTTGATGAATCACAGACTATTGATATGATCGTTTTTATAGGGATTTCGACCTGTTCCTTTAATTGTTTATGATTTGAGTTATTCATTTTTATTTAATTTTAATATTGATTTTATTTTACTAATTAGTAAAATAGTAATGTATTATTATTTAGTATTTAGTTATTTTTTTACATGATTTATTTACTTTTAACTTTATTTGAATTGCTATTAACTTAATTAATTCGTTTTTAATTAGATTATTACTGTTATTTTAAAAATTTCTTTCTCTGCAAATATGACCCAATAATATTATTTATTAAAGCAGCATGCCAGGCAATATGCAGGTGCAGCATGAAATGGACATCTTAAAAAGGGTTAGTTCACCCAAAAATGAAAATTAGTCCACAGATTACTCTCCGCCGAGGCATCCTAGGTGTATATGACTTTCTTCTTTCAGACGAATCCAGTCGGAGTTATATTAAAAATGGTCTTTGATCTTTGAAGCTGTTTAATGCCTCTCAGCGGGTGCTGCATGCATCAGTCCAAAAGAAGTGAAATAAAAAGCGCCCATCTATAAAAAAGTGTCTTGCACGGCTCCGGGGGGTGAACAAAGGTTTTCTGTAGCGAATCCATGCGTTTTTGTAAGAAAAATATCCATATTCAAAACGTAATAATCACTTTGTTGTGTTGCTAGAATGTGCTCTGAAGCTGTTTTCTGCTGCAGCAGGTGAAAGCACTAAACTAATGTGGTGGTGACTCTGGTGTTCTGCTGGTTTCTGCAGGTCGGCACGTTCACCACACACAGCGGTCAGTTCTTCCTGGAGCCGCTGTTGAGCGCTGATGAAGACGAGTACGAGGAAGAGCACAACAAGCCTCACCTGCTCTACAGACAGAACAACTCGGGTAAACGCTTCCGCTTTCACAGCGCTAATGATCAGTGTGTGTGTGTGTGCTGTTATTGTGAGGACTAGCGTCTTCAATTCTTCATCTGATGAAAGTAAATCAACTCCAGCTGACTTGCATCAATCAGACTCCCACCCATAACCTTTATTTAGCATGGGTTTAAAGTCAGAATGCTCCCAAAAATCTAACTTTTGTCCTGATTTACTCACCCTCATGTCATTCAAACCTTTATGCTTCATAATCGTGCTCATATGACTTGTGTGCTCTGTTAAGCTCTTCTGAATGTCTTACATTTGCGTCTGTTCTTCATGCAAAGCTTCAGAAGAGCTGAAATATAGTGCGTGAGGTTTATGAATTACTGTTATGATCAGGCTCGGAAATGAACAGGGGCTTGGGGAAAAAATGCCAACAAAATTAAGTAAAATTCAAGATAAGTGGGCAAAAATGCTCCCTTGTTTGTTTATAATTTTATATAAATGTATATATTTTTTACTATTTATTTTATTTTCTATTCATTTTTGTTTTTAATGTTACTATACGTTTGTATTTTTTTAAAAATAAATTTATTTTATTGTGCTATTTATTTTACTATTAATGCATTTATTTTTTTACTCTTAATTACGTACTATGCATTTGTATTTGCTTTATTTTAATATTAATTTTAATTAATTTGACCATTTATTGTCGTTTTTTTTACGATTATTAATTTAGTATTTTACTATTCTTTTTTTTTTTATCTTTTATTTAGTTTATTTACATATTTTTTTTATTTTGTGCTCAGTTTTATTTATTTATTATAATTTACTAATTTATTTATTTTTTAAATAAGATTTTTATTGTTATACATTTACGTGAATATAATTAGTTTCTCTGTAAACATTATCCAAGAATATTATTTATTAAAGCATTTGAATAGAGGTGTTGTGAGGTGCGACATGAAGTGGACCGTCTTAAAATAGTATTAATTGACATTGTTAATAATTATTATTATGGAACAGCTGATTTGCACCCCTGGTTATGATAAATCTGCGGTGCTTTAATGGTTTGTGGAGCTGGTTCGAGTGAGTAGATGTTGATTTTGGGGTGAAATCCTCCTTTATTGTGAAGATGTGCCGCTGGATCTGGGTCATGCATCAAAGAGTTGAGGATGAAAAGAGCTCGATTAAAGGTGTCCTCGCCTTCGGTTCAATCTGATAACGGTCTGAGTCTGATGAATCTGCTGCAGTTGAGACTATTAAACTAGACTGCATAAAGAGTGGAAATAAAACGGGAAACTCGACTGATGTGTGTTTTGAGTGGCGCATTGTTACATTAGGTGGTTGCTATGGTGTCCTGGGTCGTTGCTAGGCGTTTTCTTTCTCACTCAAGTCTCTAGATGTGATTGAGACGAGCAGGACTGGACTTTAATGCTTTGTATTATAGATTGATGACAGTGCTAGACTCAAGAAACTCCTGTAATGTGGGCTGAGACGATGAGTTCATGCTCAGATAAGCGTGCCGTTATAAAGCACCAGCGATTAGAGATGATTAGAGATGCAGAGCTCTAAGCGTGTGTTGGATTGCAGGGTGCTGTCGGAAAATATTTCCAGCTTTGCATGTCACGACCGGACTAATGAGTCGCTCACACACTCTTTGTCCACCGTCTCTTTCACTGCTCAATCTCTCGATGGAGATCTCCGTGTGTTTAGTGTCTTGAGTGCTTCTCTTAAAACACCTCGGGGAGATAAAACCGATTCAAAGTCGTTGTCATCCAGTGAGAGTATAGAGCGGAGTTGTTGTCGTGAACTATTGGAAATGTTGTTAATTGCAATAAAGCTGAAATGAAATAAATTATAGATATTAGATGAAAAACTTTGTTAAAAAATGTAGAAATATTGCATTTGCAACTAACTGGAATAAAATAAGTTTAAGTACTATAATTACAGAAGCTACAAAAAATAAAAACATTACACCCAATAGAAATTATAATTTTTTAAAATAAAAGGCAATTAAAAATATCTATTTATTCTATAATAGTTTGTAAATAATACTATAACTGTCTATAAAAAGTTATATAAAGCTATAAAATTAATGTGGAGCAGCTCATATTATTTCATGAGGAAAAAAAAATAAACCTATTTTATTTCTCATTTCATTTTTTTCATTTTGGTTTAACTTGAAGTGTTAATGTATTCATTTAATTAATTTTTTTAATTCTAATTTTTAATAATTCATTTTCATTATCTATACACATTTGTTTTTTTTAATCAAACTAATAAAATGACAAACAGAATATATTAATATTAAAAACTTTAGTTATTATTGTTAACCAAAACGGTAAAAAAAATTCATAACTGGAAATAAAGTAAACATTAACTGAAATATATAAGAAAAACAATGTATGTATAAAATGAGAAATGTTGTCTTGGCAAGAAGATAAAATTAAATAATAAAAAAAATATATATATATATACACACACACACACACACACACACATATATATAAACTTATTTAATTTTATCTTGTTGCCAAGACAACATTTCTTATTTTCTTTTAACTTCAGGTGCTAAAAAAATAAAACCAAAATTTAAATAAAAATAAATAACTATACACACATTAAAAAAAAAAAGCATTATAAATGACAAATGTTTCTCCTGTTAATCTCAATGGTTTTTAGGAGAAACTGATCTGAGATATTACAGCGTGAATTTCAGGTGTGATTTGTCTCATGAATCATGACCTTGATCTGCTGTTAATCTCAGCTGAAGTGAACTCGTGTTTTTAGTTTGTGTCCTGAAGCCATCATGAGTCAGTAATGTGTGTGTGTGTGTGTGTGATCACCTGTGTACTCGTGCACCTGTCTCCTGATGCCAGAGATCTGAGCAGAGTGTTTGAGGCACACACCGTGTCTGGGCTTGATCTCGAGCTCCGTTTCAGAGCCGCTCTGTTTGTTTTGTCTTCGAGAAGTGCCAGAACTCCAGACAAGCGCTGTGAAGGCCGGCAGATTAACTGGGATCACATCGCTTCATGTAGTGTGCTAATTGTTTTAGTGCTTGACACGCAGCTGATCTGAGAGCGCACAGGCTTTACTGAACACTCTGTGAAAACAGAGAAGAATGTCAACTAAAGTTAAAAAGAGGGACAGCTTGTTCTTAAAGAGCTTCAAATGCGTCTCTAATCAAATTAGTTTGATTAGTAATATTAGTAATATTGCAATATTAGTTGAATGGTTGTGAGTCTTTTGTTTTGAATGGAAATGTTTCAGAACATGGATCTGTGAATCTCAGAAAAACATCTGTAGAATCAGCTACATTGTATGTATGTATGAAAAACTTTGTTAAAAAATGTAGAAATATTGCATTTGCAACTAACTGGAATAAAATAAGTTTAAGTACTATAATTACAGAAGCTACAAAAAATAAAAACATTACACCCAATAGAAATTATAATTTTTTAAAATAAAAGGCAATTAAAAATATCTATTTATTCTATAATAGTTTGTAAATAATACTATAACTGTCTATAAAAAGTTATATAAAGCTATAAAATTAATGTGGAGCAGCTCATATTATTTCATGAGGAAAAAAAAATAAACCTATTTTATTTCTCATTTCATTTTTTTCATTTTGGTTTAACTTGAAGTGTTAATGTATTCATTTAATTAATTTTTTTAATTCTAATTTTTAATAATTCATTTTCATTATCTATACACATTTGTTTTTTTTAATCAAACTAATAAAATGACAAACAGAATATATTAATATTAAAAACTTTAGTTATTATTGTTAACCAAAACGGTAAAAAAAATTCATAACTGGAAATAAAGTAAACATTAACTGAAATATATAAGAAAAACAATGTATGTATAAAATGAGAAATGTTGTCTTGGCAAGAAGATAAAATTAAATAATAAAAAAAATATATATATATATACACACACACACACACACACACACATATATATAAACTTATTTAATTTTATCTTGTTGCCAAGACAACATTTCTTATTTTCTTTTAACTTCAGGTGCTAAAAAAATAAAACCAAAATTTAAATAAAAATAAATAACTATACACACATTAAAAAAAAAAAGCATTATAAATGACAAATGTTTCTCCTGTTAATCTCAATGGTTTTTAGGAGAAACTGATCTGAGATATTACAGCGTGAATTTCAGGTGTGATTTGTCTCATGAATCATGACCTTGATCTGCTGTTAATCTCAGCTGAAGTGAACTCGTGTTTTTAGTTTGTGTCCTGAAGCCATCATGAGTCAGTAGTGTGTGTGTGTGTGTGTGTGTGTGTGTGTGATCACCTGTGTACTCGTGCACCTGTCTCCTGATGCCAGAGATCTGAGCAGAGTGTTTGAGGCACACACCGTGTCTGGGCTTGATCTCGAGCTCCGTTTCAGAGCCGCTCTGTTTGTTTTGTCTTCGAGAAGTGCCAGAACTCCAGACAAGCGCTGTGAAGGCCGGCAGATTAACTGGGATCACATCGCTTCATGTAGTGTGCTAATTGTTTTAGTGCTTGACACGCAGCTGATCTGAGAGCGCACAGGCTTTACTGAACACTCTGTGAAAACAGAGAAGAATGTCAACTAAAGTTAAAAAGAGGGACAGCTTGTTCTTAAAGAGCTTCAAATGCGTCTCTAATCAAATTAGTTTGATTAGTAATATTAGTAATATTGCAATATTAGTTGAATGGTTGTGAGTCTTTTGTTTTGAATGGAAATGTTTCAGAACATGGATCTGTGAATCTCAGAAAAACATCTGTAGAATCAGCTACATTGTATGTATATATATATATATATATATATATAATATGAGTGTGTGTTTAAAAAAGCCCCAAAGTCAAGTCCCAGAGTGTTTATGAATCAGCAAAGCTCTCCACTGAATCTCACTGTGCTCTGGGGAGAGTAATTTGAGAGGTTAGTGAGAGAGAGTGTGGTTTCTCTTCTCTACATGAGCGTGTGTGTTCTGCTGAAATGAGATGATGAGGGTGCTGATCGTCTCCAGAAGCACAGCGTCTGCTGTTCTTCATCTGTTTGAGTGAGAGATCGTGTTCTTTAGGGAATACTGAAGCTCATGTTTGAGCAGTTTTAGGGGATTCTCCAGAGGTCTGGATAACTGAAGGTTCTCTGCGACGCAGTTATCATCAGAGACGGGTCCATTCATCTCATCCGTCTCTTTTCTGTTCAGTTGTGTTTACTGAAGCCTCACTATTGTTATTGCTCATGTTTAGAGTTTATCAGGGTTATTGTTGTCAACTAAAACCATAAAACAACAAAAACACATTGAAATAAAATATAAATAAACTACATTTCTCTTTTTTGTTTAGTTTAAATTGAAGTACTAAAATAACTAAAACTTACACTAATAAATAAAAACGGATAAAAACTAAATTGGACATATTTTATGACGAACACACTACAAAATTACTAAAACTTAAAAATTAAAGTGAAAATGGAAAATACCAAAATAAAATCTAATTCAAAATACAATCCATCCAATTTTATTTATACATTTTATTTTTTTGCTAAATATTTAAATTATTTTTGAAAAAATATTATTTATATTATTAAATATAAATTAAAAATATCTTGTGTATTAATTTCTTTATTTTTGCTTAAAATATTTTATTTTTTAAGTTTATTAATTTTATGTATTTCTTTATTTTATTTTTCCTAAATATATTTTTATACTTAAAAACATATTAATATATATTTATTTGCCAACATATTTGAAATTTTATTTTAAATATTTATTTTTATCCGTGAATTAAATTGATTTTTTTTGCTAAATATTTAAACAATAGATTTATTTTAAGTATGTATTTGTGTATTAAATTTAATATTAATTTTGCTAAATATATTTTAAAATGTTTGAAATATTTACATATGTATTTACATTTATTTTTCATTCATTATTCTATTTGTTAATTATATTTCAGTTTTGTTAAATATTTTTTAAATCTATTTTAAATCTATTTTTGGACCACTGCACCAAGTCTACATATCTACAGTATCAGCTACAGTAAGAGTTAATGTGTTATATTACTGTCCTGTTGACTTTAACTGGAGTTCAGCTCTCATATAAACCCTCTTTCTCATGATTTATTGCTTTCTATCAGTGTTTAGATGACCAGCAAACATCCAGATTTGTGTCAAAGGTCAGCAAACAGCATCATGGCTGGCTGGATGTCTGGCTGGATGTCTGGCTGGATGTCTGGCTGGATGTCTGGCTGGATGTCTGGCTGGATGTCTGGCTGGATGTCTGGCTGGATGTCTGGCTGGATGTCTGGCTGGATGTCTGGCTGGATGTCTGGCTGGATGTCTGGGGCTGGATGGTTGGCTGGATGGATGGATGGCTGGATGACAGGCTGGATGGCTGGATGGCAGGCTGGATGGCTGGATGGCAGGATGGCTGGATGACAGGCTGGATGGATGGCTGGATGGATGGCTGGATGGATGGCTGGATGGCTGGATGGCTGGCTGGATGGCTGGCTGGATGGCTGGCTGGATGGCTGGCTGGATGGCTGGCTGGATGGCTGGCTGGATGGCTGGCTGGATGGCTGGCTGGATGGCTGGCTGGATGGCTGGCTGGATGGCTGGCTGGATGGCTGGCTGGATGGCTGGCTGGATGGCTGGCTGGATGGCTGGCTGGATGGCTGGCTGGATGGCTGGCTGGATGGCTGGCTGGATGGCTGGCTGGATGGCTGGCTGGATGGCTGGCTGGATGGCTGGCTGGATGGCTGGCTGGATGGCTGGCTGGATGGCTGGCTGGATGGCTGGCTGGATGGCTGGCTGGATGGCTGGCTGGATGGCTGGCTGGATGGCTGGCTGGATGGCTGGCTGGATGGCTGGCTGGATGGCTGGCTGGATGGATGGCTGGATGGATGGATGGATGGATGGCAGGATGGATGGATCGATCGAGAGGAAGTGGCTCTGATGGCCATCAGAACGCCCGCTGAGCTCTTTCTATATTTTATTGTTATTGTCTCTGCTCTGTGGTGCTTTATTCCAGCGTTCGCTCGTGGAATATTTATAATAATATTAATAATAAAACTCAGAATTATAACATTAAAATGCCTATATTAATTTTATTTAAACAACAATAATAGTAGTAGTAATAATAATCATAATAATAATAATAATAATAATAATAATGATTATTATTATTATAATTATTGTTTTATTTTTAAATATATTAGTAAAATGTTATATGTATGTTTTATATTTGTTTTTAAATTTTGCTGCCTCTAATTTATGCAGATTAAGAAAAATAATACAAATAATTAAAGGATTATTTTTTTGTGCTATAATACAGTAAAAGCATTGATGAAGATCCGTTTCTTTTCCCACAGAACATCCCGAGCACAATCACGTCAGTATCCATAGCAACAGAACTCTGGAAGAGGAAGTGACGTCGATGCAGGAAATGATGCGCAGACGCGCGGCTCACTCCGAAGACGGCTCTCGCTCCCGCAGGAAGCGCTTCCTGTCATACCCGCGATTCGTGGAGCTCATGGTGACGGCTGACGTGAAGATGGTGCGGCATCACGGACGCAACCTGGAGCACTACATCCTCACAATCATGTCAGTAGTAAGTAAATGGTCCTTCATTCTCTTCTCCCTCGTGTCGTGTTATAGTTCCAGAGCCGCTCTGTGGTTTGTTCAGTGTGTGTGTGATAGTCATTTGCTCTGTAACAGGCTTTTACCCACAAGGCCGTTCAAAACAACAGATGGACAACATTTGCACTTAATGATGACGCTGCCTTCAGAAACCTCATCATCATCATGCTTTGATCTTTACCATGGTCTTGTACCATGATATTTACATGGTCCTTTTTTCATTATTAAGAGCAGATTCACACTTGAGCTTCAGGTCGAATTCAGTTCAAGTGCTTTTTGTGTTGCGCAAACGAACAATTAAAGACATTAAACATGTTTTACGAGAATATTTTCTCTGTTTCTCTGTCTTTGTTAGAGAAATGATTAATTGATTTATGATTTTACTGATTCATTCTACAGGCTGATTCATATGAGTCGTTCAATAGTCCCTGTGTAGCATTTTACTTTTTAATATTAGTATTAATATTTAATATAATATTTACTAATATTATTAAATATTTAGTTGTTGTTTTTTTTATCACTGTTTTGGTCCAATATTTTCTTAGCAAGTGAATGCTATGTGTTGTAGTTTGACCGTGTTATGCTATGACTTGTTGTTAGTAGTTAGTAGTGTAGTTAACTAGTTAAGTACAATAGCTTGTAGCTTGACAAACTCCAGTTCCCTTTCAAGGGAACTTCGAACTGCATCCTCTAGGGGTTGCTATGGGGGGGACGCCTCGTCGTGACCCGTGTCTGAAGCATACATTGAAAAAACACCAACAACACGTTGGCCGGCGACAGCCCATGACATCACTACCGGTGCAACTATAGTATAAATAGGCGCCGGGAGAACACGTCATTCTCTTCTTCGTCTTCATTGACTGTTTTGTTTGAAGCGTGCATTTGAACGTGGTAAGGGCGATCTGCTATCTATTATTATGACGAGCACTAGCAGAACGTTTAGAGGGTGTGTGCATCCGTGTCATCGCTATTTGACACCTGATGACACACACGATCTCTGCGTTTTTTGTTTGGGCGAGGAGAACGCACGCGACGTCCTTGAGGGGTCGATTTGCGTGCATTGTGAGTGTTTTTCGATGAAAAAGCTCCGCTCTCGTTTGTCTCTTTTTTTTGAGGAAAGTGGGGGGCCAGTGCTCTGCTGGGTTCAGCAGGAGATGTCTGAGGACGGCGAAGAGGCTGAGGCTGAGCCTTCCCAATCCTCCTGCCCTGCATATGATGAGCTGTTGGAAGTTATGAATCGCGCCACGGCGAGGCTGGACTTGCCGTGGAAGCGGGCCAAGAAAGTGGCGCCGCGGGGTCGTCTCGATGAGCGTTATCTTTCTGACCATAACCGTCCAGCTCAGGTGAGCCTTCCATTCCTTCCTGATTTGCATACTGAAATCGAGAAGGAATGGAAGAGGCCGTTTTCTTCTCGCATCTATTGATTCCAGCATACGAGTTATGCCAACATCGAGGCGATGCGTGAAAACGGCTATGAGAGGAGGATGCCCCCTGTAGAAGAGACGCTGGCTAGCTATCTCTCTTCGGGCGAGACATCCTCCCTTAATACTCCCTCCTTGCCATCTAAGCCCCTCCAGGATACATCGCGCTTAAATGGCAGGGCATACGCAGCAGCAGGTCAGGCTGTGGCTTCATTGCACACTATGGCGGTGCTCCAGGCGTATCAGGCTGATCTGCTGAAAGACCTGGATAAAGGCGAGGGCCTTTCTCCTGATCAGGTAGCTGAGCTGACGCAGTGTCTCGTTCCCTACTCAGGGAACCATGGTTACATAAGTAACCTGAGACGTTTCATTGCAGCTTTGCTGGAACAGTCCCGATCAGTGTTATTTTAGTTTCATTAATGTACAATTTTAGTTTTTATTGATATTTTAAATGAGCTTTTTTTCATTTACTTTCCATTCATTTTAATTTGTAAAAGTTGTAGTAATTTTTATGTTCCATTTTTATTATTTTATTATTTTTTTAAATGTCTATAGTTTTTTTTTTTTAATAACTTTCAGTTTTAGTTATTTTAGTACATCAAGTTAATGACAACTAAATGAAAATATGAAATGTTTCATTGGCAACTATTTGAAATGAAATATATATTTTTAAATTTAATAATTTATTTTATTTTAAAGTAATAAACTTTTTTTAATGCTGAATATATGTTTTTTAATAAATATTTTGAATTTTAATTTTTTTTCCATTTTCATTTTTATTTTAGTTAAAGTATTAATAAATTTGTTATTTTTGTAATTTTTATTATAACTTTTTAAATGTCTTGTTAGATTTTATTACTTTTTATTTTTAATTTCAGTTAAGTACTTGAAGCCTTGGCAACTAGCTGAATTGACATATATATATATATATCTCTTATTTGTGACTGAACGTTCTGTGCTTTCAGGTCGCTGCGATCTACAGGGACCCCAGTGTAGGAAACCTCATCAACATCATGATCGTCAAGCTCATCGTCATACATAACGAGCAGGTGCATCAGAACAGATCTCCACGGATTATAATCTCAGCGACGGCTACAATTATAAATGCATTTAATGAAATGTAGTGAATTTACATAAATTTAATGCAATTTTCAATATTCCGTTTAAACGGATTGTCAACATTTTCACTAAAACTACTTTTTTATAATGCAGATTACCTGGATTTATTTGAATGAAACACCTTTAAATAATTAAATTACCATGTGCTTGTTGTACTTATTGTATTTTCTCTTTTTTGACTCATAATCAGATTTATTATAGTTATCTAAAACTGAAACATTAAAAAAGTTTGTGTTACTTGAAATAAAACAAATATTAATTGAAATAAAATAAGATATATAAAAAACAAATTTCAGCTAATTCCCAAAGCAGCACTTCATATTTTCGTTTTGTTTCACTTAATGTACTAAAATTACTAAAATTGAAATGCAAACTATGCAGACATGTTTAAAAACAACTGAAACTAAGAAAAATGACAAACACACAAGAAGATTATTAAAACTTTAACTTGAATTAACACAAAAGCAGAAAATATAAAAATACATTTAATTAAATGGCTATAATAGTATCTCAGTGATGCTAAAATAACACCGTTTTTACTCAACTATTTTTTTTTTCCCGTTTCTCACTCAATTTGCACACTCTTTAATATTTAGTATTTTTAAAAATATTTTTTCTCGTTTTTGACTCGTTATTTTGACTTCTCGTCACACTGCCAAAAAATAAAAAAAGCTAAATAATAGTAGTTTTTTTCTTGCAGAATGAAATAACTGTTGCTCAGATTGTCTTGTGTGCTTTCACCAGATGATGATGAATGATGCTCTGTAATAAGCGGTGTGTTTTCCTCAGGAAGGGCCGAGTCTAAACTTGGACGCCGCTGTGACGCTGCAGAACTTCTGCTCGTGGCAGCAGAGCCACAACGCTTTAGACGACAGTCACTCGGGTCATCACGACACGGCACTTCTCATTACCAGGTGACCTGACCGTGACCTCGTCACCTCCAGCACTTTGGTTGTGAGCTGGATTTGAGCATAAGCGCTATTATGGGATGTGTGTTTGTTTCTCAGGGAGGACATGTGCCGAGCAAAAGACAAGTGTGACACGTTAGGTAACTATTTCTTCTCTCTCTCTCTGTCTCTGTCTCATGCACAATAAGAATTGAGAAGCACATTAAGCTCTCTGTCTCTCTCTGTCTCAATTCAATTCAATTCAATTAAGCTTTATTAG